AATTGATTGGGAATATAAAAATCCTATATTCCGCCTTCTCTATAAAAGGTTAATATTGGATCCTTACGGTTTGTCATTATTAAAAAAAATGGAAATTGTAAAACCAGTATAATGTACTAATGTCATGTTTTATAATATTTTAATATTAATAACATTGGAAGGAGCTTCTGCAAAAGTACGAATAGGAGTTGATTACATAAGGTTCCATATTATGCTGTTGGAGTGTTAATACACAATATTGCGAATTAATTTAAAAAAAAAAAAAAAGTTTAGGAAACGTCCGGTAATTATAATTTTTTATAATCGTAGTTTGTTATTTCAGATGTAGAACGAGGGAAAAAAATATGCAAGTACATTCGGAAATATCTTTGAAATACCCTTTACAAACATAAAAAACTGAATTCCTTATATCTGGTTCTTTATAATGACCTATTTTTTTCTTTCCATTATGAAATTATTTAATATTTTTTGAGAACTATGCCAAATAGCTTTAGTTTCTATGTACATTTTTCGGGGGGGCGCTTTTCCAATAAAAATTTTTGAGCACTATTTTTTAATTTTTCCCTATTTGCCACAATAACATATACCTACCTAATACATAAAATTTACAAAGAGTATCGTAAAAATGTTAGCCTTTTATCACAAGCATCTGTACATTTGCAGAAACTATTAAGTTTTTATTGACCATAATTTTCAAATTTGCATAAATGAATTTTAGCTGACACGTTTCATGTAAATTTGAACGTTTCACTACTAAAGCCTACGCATTTCGTATTAATGTACTTGCTAGTTATACAAAATTTCGATTATGACTGGTTAACCACAATTAATTTATTTCGATGTATGTAATTGAAAAGACTGACAAGTCGTTTACAATTACATAAAAATAGTTTTTATTGGGGGGTAAAACACTGAAAGTTGACTTTAGTAAAATAACTACGGGGACTGTTTTTTTTCAACAAATTTTTTTATCAAAGATTAAAATTTATTCAGCCGTGCCTTCAACTGTCGAAAGAGGTGAAAAGCATTAGGTGCTTATTCACTTCTGCAGATTGACCAACAAATGCAGAGGGAATTGAAGTTAATTTTGATGCTACTAAAATAACCTTTCATCTATCATTTTTTCTTCA